AAAATTAGCAAAATCAGATGAACCCCAACTCCCACCAACAGAAACAGCAAACAGACTCAATGATTTCTTCTCCACTATAGGACAAAACCTTGCCAATAAAATCCCAAGCTCAGATACCCCACCAAATGACTACCTCACCGGCAACTACCCGAACACACTGTTCCTAGCTCCGACTAACCCATACGAAGTCTCCCTCATTATCAACGCACTAAAAAACAAGGCAGGAGATTTAAATACCTTACCACCCTTTATATACAAAAAAGTGTCACAAGTGCTATCACCAATCATTGCAACACTCTTTAACAAATCCATTGAATCCTCCACCTTCCCTACAGTACTCAAAATAGCAAGGGTCACCCCGATCCACAAAGGAGGAGACCAAACAGAGTTGAATAACTATAGGCCAATATCCAATTACACCCTCTCTCAAAAATCTTCGAAAAATTAATTCATAAACGAATCTACTCCTACCTTATCTCCCAAAACATACTTAACCCCTGCCAATTTGGATTCAGGCCTAATAAAAATACTAATGATGCTATTATACACATGCTAGAACATATATACACTGCAATAGAGAAAAAAGAAGTCCCACTGGGGATCTTCATTGACTTACGTAAAGCTTTTGATACAGTTGACCATGACTTGCTCCACGTAAAATTGTCACACTATGGTATAAGAGGGCACTCCCTCAACTACCTCAAGTCATACCTCAGCAACAGAAGCCAATATGTGTACGCAAATGGGGCAAACTCTTCTGCGCAACCAATTACAGTTGGTGTCCCACAGGGAAGTGTCCTTGGCCCTCTTCTCTTTCTCCTATACATAAATGACCTTCCAAATGCTTCGCAATTACTCAAACCCACACTATTTGCAGATGACACTACATACGTCTTCTCTCACCCGAGCCCAGTCACGCTAGCCAATACTGTCAATACCGAATTACAGAAAATATCTACCTGGATGAGGACTAACAAACTTACACTAAACATTGACAAAACCTACTTCATTCAGTTTGGTAACAGAGCTACAGATGTCCCTCTTAACATAATGATAAACGGATCACCTATCACAAAGCTAACAGAGGGAAAATTCTTAGGAATCCACCTTGATAATAGACTCAAATTTCATACACATATACAACAAATTTCTAAGAAAATTTCCAAGACTGTAGGCATACTATCGAAGATACGGTACTATGTTCCACAGTCAGCCCTCCTGGCCCTATATCACTCTCTTATTTACCCCTATCTCACCTATGGAATTTGTGCATGGGGCTCAACAACAATTAACCATCTCAGACCACTAATTACCCAACAAAAGGCTGCAGTTAGAAATGATAACAAATTCTCACTACAGGCAGCACACTCCACCAATATTCAATACACTAAACCTACTCACCATACAAAACATCCATACTTATTACTGTACCTATTACATACATAGAACACTTAACTCTGATATTAACCCTCCCCTCAAACATCTCCTTGCCAACCTCAACAGAACACATGACCATAACACAAGGCACAGATCACTCTTTGATGTTCCTTGTGTCCATCTCACACTATGCAAAAACTCAATGCACATAAAAGGCCCTAAAATCTGGAATTCATTACCTGTAAATATAAAAGAAACACTACCTGTTTATAAATTCAAGTCTCTTCTCAAAGATCACTTACTCACCCAAAACCAAATAAATACTGAATAACTGAACCTTATAAATTGTATATCTTAAATGTTTCTCACAATTATATCACATAAATGTTAAACCTAAAACCGAATCTAACTTTATTATTTTTTAAATACACTACCTAACAGAATACTTCATACGACTGAATGTACAACAATGCATGCAACCATATGACCTGTCTTTGTAATACTCACTTGTGCTTTATAGTAATCTGTTTACATTAATGTTTTATCACTGATTTCATCATTGCTTAGTTAATCTTAAGTTAATTTTAAGCCAGCCCGTAATGCTATGCATAGTATAAGTGGCTTTGGCATGCTGCTCTTATCTGTATTTTTTTTGTACCTCTGTATGTGTGCTCAAATTGTTAATAAATAAATAAATAAATAAATAAATAAATAAATAAATAAATAAATATGTATATTAGTTCAAGCATTTGTATAATAGCGTCAGTCATACTTTTTTTTGGTCTAAACCCAAACCGGCATGGGTTAAGTATGTTGTTGGATGTAAGGTAGGACTAAAGTCGCTTGTGTATTATTTTTTCAAATATCTTGGAAAGTAAGGGCAAGTTTGATATGGGTCTGTAGTTGTTCAAATCAGTTGAATCTCCTCCTTCGTGGATTGGGGTGACCCTTGCTGTCTTGAGTATAGATGGGAAGGTTGAGGATGCTGTAGATTTGTTAAACTTTGTTGCAATAATGGGTGACAGTTCTGGTGCAGCTTTTTTTGTATATGAATGGTGGCAAGTTATCTAGATCACCTGCATTGTTCTTTAATGATTTAATGATGAGTGAGACTTCAGTGGGATTAGTTGGAGCTAGAAATAGAGTACTTATTTGGATAGTTGCCAGTGAGGTACTCGCTCAGCTGGGTATTTGAGCAACGAATTTGACTTGCTAGCTTTGATCCTACAGTAGAGAAGAAGACATTAAATTTGTCGGCCATGTCTATAGGTTGTATGCGAGGTTCATCTGGTTTAGTTAAGTTTATCTCTATTTCCAGACGGTTTCCTAGAGCCCAAAATTTTGGAGAGGGTTTGCAAGGTACTTTTCATATCACCTTTCGTTTCACTAAATCTATTTTCATAATATACATTTGCTTTGATTTACATATTAGTTTTGTGAGCATTGATGTGTATCTTCTAGTAAATTCTTTAGTAATTAGGCCTAATCTGAACTGTTTTTCAATTTGGTGTTTTTTATTAATAGATTTGAGTATACTTTTTTTTAGCCATGGGCTTTTTAGTCTCTTTTTTGTGATCTGTTTCATTTTGATTGGACAATGTTTGTTATAGAGGTTTAGGGTTTTATGTAAAAAAATTTTGATATCTTTATTGATATTATTACTGTCATCTAGCTCTCTCTGCCAATCAATGGCACCTAGAGCTAGTTTTAGGTTGTTTATCAATGTCTCATCATGCAGGCGAAATGAGATCTTTCTTGTTTCTTGAGGTAGTTTAGATAAGCTGGTTATGAGAAGGGTAGGGTAGTGGTCTGTGAAGTTGTCTGTGATTATACCTGCTTGTAGTGGGGATACAGTGTTGGTCCAGATATGGTCAAGTAATGAGGCACTTGTCTCAGAGATTCTTGTTGACTTCGTTATAGAGGGCAGCAACAAGCTGTTGTTCATAGCATTTGTGAAATCAGCTACTGGAGGATCAGTTGCTTGGATACGGTTTATGTTGAAATCTCCTGCTAGTATCAGATGGTGTTTATTCAACTCCGACTCAATTATCATGTTTCTAAGGTTACTGCTTAAAATGTAAGTATTTGAGTGTGGTAGTCTGTAGACTGCACCAACTGTTATAGGTTTCTTTAGTGTTCTTGATGTGAATTTAGCTATTATATATTCACCGTTTTCGTCCTGTACATTAGTTGATTTCATACATTCTAGTTCATCAGAGTAATAGATGGCAGTGCCTCCTCATGATTGGTCAGGCCTGCAGTTATGTATGGCTGTGTAACCAGGTATGGTAAAAAATGTCTGCCAAATCTTGTCTGAGCCAGGTTTCAGTAAGTATAACGAAAGTTATAGTAGCATTTAGAGACTTCAGTAGTGCAATGAGGTCATCATAGTGTTTACTCAATGATCTAACATTGAAGTTGAAGACTGAAATGTTCTTGCCAACACTGAGAAGGGTATTAGCCTGACTAGCAGTGTAGTAATGGCAATTACTGTTAGGATTATGTGTGCAGTTCAATAAGAGGTTGACATCAGGATCAATAATTGCATTCATAAGGAGTACACAGAGAAATAGCTGTTACAATTATTAAAAAAGAAAAGACAAATAGCAATTGATGTTAAATCACTAACAAATATGAACATATGAATTAAGGTCCAAACGTATACACCTACATCCGACTTACGACCTGCTCGACATACGACCACTCGACTTACGACTGTGCTTTTTATGCCAAATTTCTGGGAAATAAACAACTGTTTGTGTTGTATACAGTGTTTATCCTAAACCTTACAGTATAAACTACAGTACTAACAGCATAAAAAGTAAAGTAAAAAATGAAATACCAAAATAAAACAATAAAATAGAGTCATTACAAAAATGTGATGTTGATATTCAGTAGTAAAGTTCGACTTACATCCATTTTGACTTACGACCTGTTGGTCAGAACCAAGCTCGGTCGTAAGTCGGATGGTAGGTGTATATACGCTTTCTCACGTAGTGCCCCAAACATATATATATATATGTTTCCTTTGTCATTCATTCAACATTGGCACGATAAGCCTGAGTCGCCTAGACATGAGAGAATGGGTGTACACACTCACTGTGTGCCATATGAAAAAAATTGGGGACGCCTGGGTACCATATGCTCTTTTTTCCTATTAAAAAAAAAAAAGATTTTTTTAAAAATTCGGGGCGCTACGCAAGAGAACGTATATATACGTTTGGACCATTTAAGGGTTAAAATCTAAAAATAATGGAGCTACTGAATATTAAAGTAAAACACTTTAGCACCTTGATTAGTTCTATCTTAATAACATTATGAAAACCCCAAGTTTCATGTTCATAAACTTCAATTTTACCTAAAATATCGTCACCAATTCTATTTTTCCCTAAAATTTATGATTATCATTAATTTAATTATTAATATTAATGAATTCAAATATAAACACAACTTAAATAAACTTAAAACAGAAGCCAATGATGCAATTCTCACATCTGAACAGAAAGAATTTAGAATTTAGATACTGGAAGGTCTACTTGTTTAATTGTGAAAAAAATAAAGGGTAGAATGCACAGAAACCAACTAATGGTAAAACAGAAGCAATTATCTGTTTTGATCCTAACCGTAAAAGGCAGTAAAGTCAGCGCATGTTCGATGACAAGTCGTATTAATCTCTTAGAATAAAATATGAACTCATCACGTGGAGTGTCCTTGTTACGTATAAATGTATGAAGTCCACGAATTTGTGGTGTGGAAGGCAGCAGGTGGAGGGAATTGGGTCTTGACATACCAAAATTTGCATTGGCCAACTTTTCACGAAGTTTGAAGCCTCTCTGTAAAAAAATTATTTAAAATGTAATGCATCATTAAATTTTCAAATGATTACACATACATACTGCAGTTTCGGAAACTATTGCAACATCAGACATCCTTGTGTAAGTTTCACTTTACTATAAAACCCATCTATTTTTTCTGCTCACCATAACACGTGCATCACCTCATTAAAGTAAAACAAAGTACAGTGGAACCTCAGCTTACAAACGCCCCACCATGTGAACTTTTCAAGATACAAACTGTCGTTGGTCGATTTTTTGCTTCTGGATACAAACGAAATTTCAGGATGCATACTTCCCCCTCAAGAGAGGTTCCTTAACCCTTTCAGGGTCTCGCGCCATAGATCTACGGCTTTATGTTGAGGGCCCAAACTGTAGATCTACACCAGCGGCAAGTGGCAACAGGAACCTTGTCCTCTATTTTTACTTCTACCGGAGGGTCCCAGCAGCCCTGTGATGGCCTAATCAAGACCTACATAACACTAACATGTGTAGATACCCAGAATGATATAAATCAACTGCAGAAATCACCCAAAAGTACACAAATTACCAACTAATAGGACTCGTATTACCACTTCCTGCCCCGCTGCCACTGAAGTGATACCCCACAACATTCACCCATCACCCATCGCCTACTCTTCATCTGAAGCTGCAGTCAATGGACAAGGGTCAGAGCATTAAAAGAAGATCCAGTAACCAGCTAAGGACCCCTAACATCAAAGGTGAGACCAGTAATATCACGAGGAAAACTTTTCGTACTGCCAGCCAGGACACAACCCTCATCACCCACCGGCACCACCACAACACACGACAGACAACAACAAACATGGCCGCCACCACAGTCCAAGATAACTCCTTCCTTGGATTTGATGTTAAGAAGATTACCGACCCAGAAATAGCTAAACTCCTTACGATTCAGAACCAAATAATCACCAAACTAACCCAGGGAATGCAGTAACTAAAAGCTTCCAATGCACAGTACCTCAGCAAGATCACTGCTCTAGAACATAAACTAGACACTATGGAACAACAAAGCAACACCCACACCCAGTCCGTAGACACCATCAATACTCTAAAAGACTAAGTCACCCTACTTACTGCCAACATTACAGAGGAAAGATTGAGAGTGGACCAACAACTTGCCAATGTCATAACCAACTTCCAAGACCATAATGACCAACAACAGCTATCTGACGCTGTTGTAGTTAACAGCAAACATCTTCCAGCCACAGTCACCCAAGAAACCTGCATGGAGACCACCCTACAGCTTATCAAGGACCACCTTCGCCTTAACATACGTAGTGATGACCTAAAGGATTGCAAACTGATGGGCTACCAAGCGGGTAAAAAAACAGTGCTTTTAAAATTCCAAACTAGCCTACAAAGAAACAACCTACTAAAAACATCCATTTCTATGAAAAATGATGTTTATGTCAATGAGTGCCTTACCAAAACAAGACAAAACCTCCTTTATCGGCTAAGAAAATTACGCTATGGCCAAAAAATCCACCAGTGCTTTGTGAGGGAGGGAAAAATCGTAGTTAGGAAACAGCCCACTGGAAAGAGATACTTCATCTCTATAGAACATGACCTTAAAACTTTCCTAAGTGAGGCTGGATTAACAGAATCAGAGTAAGGTGCAGATAATACCCACTGTCCACCATTAGTGTTATATTGCAATAAATTTTGTTCCTCCACCCCCCCAAAAAAAAAAAAAAAAAAAAATCCAATACCCCAACTACTTTTGAATGTCAGTGTTGTATTCAATGACCATTCTACCTCATAGTCTTAACTGTGTTTAAGATCTACAGAATCTCTCTTCTTTTATACTTCTTACCACTTCATTGTTCTATTTTATTTTAATTGAAACTAACCATAGCTTGTCCTCAGTTAATCTGCCTCACTTTAAAAAATACTCTATTGCCCAATTTTATTTTAAAATCTCTATTATTGCCCAATTTTATTTTAAAATCTCTATTATTGCCCAATTTTACTTTAAACTATATTGACCAACCTTATTGTAAACTTTTTATTATTGCCTATTTTTATTTTATATTTAAGTGCCCAACTTTATTGTAAACTTTTCATCTCATTATTGCACTATTCTAGTCTTGAGTTAATTATTCTATCTTATACTTGCCCAATTTTACCAATACTTAATTGCCCAATCTATTTTAAACTTTTTATTATTGCCCTTTTTATTTGTAAAGTTTATTACCAAATTTTATTATACTTTTTTATAATTGCCCTATTCTATTACAGACTTTATCACCCAACTTTATTAACTTTTCTTAACCTTTTGTTACCAATTTTTAAGCTTGTATATTCAACTCCAACTTTAATATTATCCTGTGTACCACCTTGCTATCATATTATAACCAAGTCACTGCCATTTTTATTTTTTTTTTTATTATTTTTTTCTTTTGCTACCTTAACTTGTGTATTTTGTCTTGTCAATTTAAATTTAGTTATACTCTAGTTCTTGTTAACAACTTATATTAGACCCTAGTGCAATTACAAGTGAGAGTCTTGTGCCATTTTAAACTAGTATTTTTTATATTATTAGATTAAACCTAGTTGTACTTTAGCTCATTCTAGCTTAATACATAGACATCACCAAATTCATTATATTAGACCTTAGTGCAATTACAAGTGAGCATCTGGTGCTTTTTTAATTTGTATTTTTAGTTTATACTTAGTTGTACTTTAGCTCATTCTAGCACAACACTTAGACAACATCAACTTCATTATGTTTATTAGTGACTATACTCAATATGACCAAAGTGCTTTAGCTATATACTTGTCCAAACTTTCCACTACTACAGGTATCAGTACTATAACTCAACACACAATTCAGGATATAAATAACCACAATTTAAACCTAGAAGATGAATGATCACATCGACCCTGATATAAACCTCCATAATCTAACACCCAATCAAAACCTACTGGAAAGTAACTGCCTTTATTACACAGCATCACAAACAGTGCTAAAAGTCTATCAGTTCTTAACTACAACATCAGGTCCTTAAGCAAACACTATGATGACCTCCTGGCACTCCTTGAGTCGCTAAAGACACCCTTCTCCTGCAATATTCTTACTGAGACCTGGCTTAAGCAGGACACAATAGATATTTACCCTCTACCAGGATACACAGCAATCCACAAATGCAGACCATACCAAGTTTGGGGTGGTATTGCAATCTATTACTCTAACCAACTATCTTGTATTAGCACCACTTGCTTTAGTGATGAATATGGGGAATACATTTTGAAAAAAAAAAAAAAAAAAAAAAAAAAAAAAAAAAAAAAAAAAAAAAAAAAAAAATCTTACAGAATTAAAGAGCATATTTTTGTGAAGGTAATAAGACAAAAAAAAAAATTCTGATCAGTACTTACTGAGATACAGTGCCGAGAAGTTTGTCCAAAATGACGTGGTGGCGGCAACATCGATGAATTCCACATACGCGCATTACTTTATTTAGCAGTTTTTTTCTTTTCTTTTCCAATTTTTTTCTTTTCCTACTAACATTTGGGGCCTGAGAGACCAATACTGTATATAATGTATAAATATAATCTCGCTGTATTGAACACAATAACTGCAATAAAGTAATTATCATATTATTGTTTACCACTGTTGTTTATTACAATAAACATGCACAAATCTTGTATAATACTAATGCTCTATCATATATTTACATATTTACAATCACTGGACATGATTTTAGAACTGCTGGAGCTTGTGGAACTCCTTGAAACAAGGCACCATGCACAGAGGTACCTTACATTCCTCACACATTCCTTACATTGCTGCACACTAACAGCACCTTTCAAGGCAGGTGAAATTGCTGACCTAGAAAATGTACAGAGAACCTTCATGGCGCGCATAATGGAGATAAAACACCTCAATTACTGGGAGCGCTTGAGGTTCCTAAAACTGTACTCCCTGGAACGCAGGTGGGAGAGATACATGGTTATATACACCAGGAAAATCCTAGAGGGACTAGTACCGAACTTGCACACGAAAATCACTCACTACGAAAGCAAAAGACTTGGCAGACGATGCAACATCCCCCCAATGAAAAGCAGGGGTGTCACTAGCACGTTAAGAGACCATACAATAAGTGTCAGGGGCCCGAGACTGTTCAACTGCCTCCCAGCATACATAAGGGGGATTACCAACAGACCCATGGCAGTCTTCAAGCTGGCACTGGACAAGCACCTAAAGTCAGTTCCTGACCAGCCGGGCTGTGGCTCGTACGTTGGTTTGTGTGCAGCCAGGAGCAACAGCCTGGTTGATCAGGCTCTGATCCACCAGGAGGCCTGGTCACAGACCGGGCCGCGGGGGCGTTGACCCCCGGAACTCTCTCCAGGTAAACACATAAACCGAGTGTCTTTGCGTCTTTGTTGCCGTCGTTTTGTTTGTGCACAGACGATGCATCTCTTCTGAGCAAATTTCTTCTGAGTTGAAGGAAGCTGCATTATGAAATGATCACCTTCCCTAATCAAACGCTTGGGTATATCCAGAGGAATTCGAGGACCTTGTTGTATAGCAGGTGCTGTTACCTGGTACTTCATCATGAGTTGTCTGACAACAGACAAACAAAATTCACCATACGGTGGTCTGTTGCCAGTTTTTATTTGGTACATATTATATGCATTGAGCATTGAAATGTCCACGAGATGGAAGAAAAGTTTCATGTACCACTTGTAACTTTTACGAACACAATCAACAAAACCAATCTGCATGTCACATTTGTCAACCAAGCGCATGTTTTGTGTATAATCAATCACTGTCACGGGTTTTCGAATATGTTCATTAGTCACTCGATCAACTTTGCCACTGTCTTGCATTTCATTACGGTGAATGGTTGTCAACAATGTGACATCTCGTTTGTCATGCCACCGTAATGCCATGATGTCATTGGCAGAAAACACCTGCACGTCATCACCACGAGCACCTGCGTTGAGCCTGGGCATATGTTTACGATAAGAACGCA